GGTTACCAGCAGCAGAACCTGAGCTGGGTTCTGCTGATGCTGGGTTCTGCACCAGAACCCGAGCTGCAGAACCCAGCAACCCAGCAGAACCCAGATCTGGGTTCTGCTGCCTGGGGGAAAAAAAAAAAAAAAAGTGAAACGGGTAAATTTATAATTACATTTTTAAAATCTTTTGGTTATCTTTGGTTATGTGGAGTGTGCACACCCAGGTATTGAATCCGGGTGTGCACCAATTGTAGTCCTTTTGGTAAATATCTCCTCTTTGATTTTGAAAGTTTTTCATGTAGGCTATGTAGCGATTGTTACAATTTGTTAATGATGTTATAGGCCAATAAGTATTGTTTATACTCTCATCAATATTATTATTGCTTGGGCTACATAGTTATTGGCAGATTTCTATTCTCATCAAATTTGTAGTTGCAATTTTCAGTTAGAGTTCTGAAAATGGTCAAGAGGAAGATTACTGGAGATTTTCCTTTTATGATTCTCATATTAGAAGTGAACTGAAGGTAGAAAAAGCTAAAAATGTTACATAAGTTAGAAAAGTTATTATGCTAAAATTATTTAATGTTTAGATTTAGTGATTTATAGTAGAGTCTTGACTAGTTTACATGAATGTATATACTATATTGATGTTACATGATGATCATTGAGTTATAAAATTATTGTACTTTCCTTTTCGTATTGTTGTATAATGATTTGAATTGTTTGTTTGAAGCTTAATCTCCTGTTATCAACCACATTTATAGATAAAAATATAAATTTTTGGTATAATTAATTTTAGCTAGAAATCTATTTTATTATTATTATTATTATTTTTATTTTTTGCCACAAGCTGATGTTTGTGGCAAGTAGTTTTACATTGAGTTTTGGATATGAACCTATTTGCTTCAATCTCATCTAATTTAGCTATAGAATTCAATTTTTTAGGTTAAATAATAAAACAGTTTGTTATGAGTTTTGTTTTCATAGCTAAAGAGTGAAGCAGTTTGGTATGGGTTTAGTTTTCGTGGCTAAAGAATAAAACATTATTTACTGCAAGAATATTAGTTTTGTGGCAAAAGGTTTAAAACATTTTGCCACGTACTTATTATGCTTGTGGCAGGAAATATTATTCTTAACTATGGAACAAATAAATGCCATGACTATTTGTTAGCCACGCCATTCCTAGGCACTACAAGCTACAAAAAATATCTTTATGGCTAAACCATTTAGTTACGAGATTTTCACTATTTAATTATAGGATCTCTTAAAGCTGGAGATGTAAAATGTAGTAAATTAGATAAATGTGTAAGTGATATGTGTAAGTAAATCATAATTTTTTTTGTTAATGTATCCTAAAATCAATTGTTAAATTTAATATTTTATTCATGTGTATAATACTGGGTCAGATTCTAAATTAATGAAATTTTTGGATTTTATAATTTCATGAAGTTTCAGATTTCAAATTAAATTAAATCTGCATTTTTGTTATTAGACAGTCTACAGAAAAGTTTAAGATATGATTCTTACTTTTCTAATTAGGTCACTTTTTAGTTAAATTTAATGTCGAAAAATTTCATTGATTATAATCTTAATATAACCTTTAAGATACAAATTAAAAAAATTCTTTTTAGTTTAATTTTTCCACCTGTGGTGTCAGCACCTTGGCCAGAGGTGTCAATACTTTGCTTATTTAAGACAAACTTCAAGAAATCAAGGCCCTCTTGACTTAAATTTCTAGAATACTCCCTTTTCATTTTGGCCTTCTTCCACGTGCAAGCAAACCACATCAACCACCTGGCCATCTTATTTTGAGATGGTTCATAATACAGGCTAAGTTGTGCAAGACCTATACTAGGTGATCCATAGGAAATCATCATTAACTCAAGGTAGGATTCGAGGAAGGATCCATGGGATCCATGCATCTACTTAAACCATCATCAAGCTTCACCTCATTGTTGAAGCTTAGCTTCTTCTTGACTCCATTGATTTCTTTCTTCAAAATTCCTTTAGGCTTCCACACCATCTAGCCTAGGGTGTCTTGGGTCTTCCATTGGCACATTGATCAAGCACATAGATGTTATGCTTGTTCTTCTTCCCACGAGTGACTAGCCTACCTCTTTTGTAGACTCGACCCCACTCACTATTGCTAGTAAACCTATACCTACGAGAAGTCAACTAACCTAAAGCAAAGATGTTAGACAAACACTTAGGCACATACCTCACATTTTTGAGAGTCTTGGTCTTCCCATTGTGATCATTGAGTTGGACATCTCCAAGGTGTCCAATGTTCACCTTCTCACTAGTCCACAGTTACCTTACCAAGATCATGTCTCATCATGTTCACAAAGAAAGTAAAGTCATTGCAAATATACATGGATATCAAAGAATCCATCACCTACTTTGAGTTGCTACCATCTTCTTTGGGATCATCTTCCATTATGGTGTAAACATCACTCTCATAGACTTCAACCATGTTTGCCTCTTCTTCCTTATCATTAGCCTCTTGACCTTTCATATGTTCTTATTTTCCATATCTTTCTTGAGCTTTGGACAATAGGATTAGAGGTGACCCATCTCATCATAATAATAGCAATTCTTCTTGGATTTGCCTCTTGATTCTTCTTTTCCCTTAGATTTGTCTTAAGATCTATTGCCTCAAAAACCCTTCTTAAATTTCCTCTCCCTATACTTGCCTTCGGTGACAAGAGCTGTATAATTATATTCATGTATCCTATGCTCTTTCCTTCTAACTTCCTCATTGAGAATGCTATCTTTCAACAATTTGAGAGACATCCCTCCATCCCTAGTGGAGTTATTCAATAAACCACCATGGTCTCCCAACTATCCCTAAGAGAACTTAATAGGATTTAGGCTGACACTTCATCATCTGAAGGAAGTTTTGTAGTAGTTAACTAATTCAAGATATCTTGAAAATTCCTTAAGTGTTCAGTAGCACTCTTACCTTCTTGGTACTTTAGATTCACCAACTTACGAATTAGGGAGGGTTTATTTTGTGCATTCTTGTGCTCAAACAATTCTTCTAGCTTCTTCCATAATTCATAAGAGTTGATGACTTGTGCCACATGATGGATAACATTCAAGTCGATCCACTTGCATATCAAGTTGCAAGCCCTTCTATCCATCTTTTCCCAATCCATTTTTTTGATAGATTTGGGTTTGGCTCCCTTCCTTTTGATAAGATCAAATAAATCCTTCTAGTGTAGTGAATCTTCCATCAAGGTCTTCCAAAGTATATAGTTGGAGGAGTTGAGTTTGATCATGGTTGCACCATCATTCTCATTCACCATCTTTGCTAAGTCAATCCCAAGGATCAACCTTATGCTGTGATGCCAATTGTTGAGAATTCTATCATAAATAAAATTCCTTATTCAAGTGGAAGCATAAAACCAACACAATAATTTAATGTGGAAAACCCCAAAGGAGAAAAAATCATAGAGAGAAAATAATCCACTATTAAGAAGAGTTATAAGATTAGAAACCCCTTCTCAATCTGCTCTAAGAATTCGTAATTTCTCAAAGAAATCTCTCTTAATCTCACTAAAATTTTCTCAGCCCAATTACAAGAAGCTCTCGCTCACCCAAAATGTTTCCCTAGCCTCTAGTAATTCTCTCATACATACAATTTTAGGGTTGCCTCTAGCATATATTTATAACAAGTTCAAGTGGAATTTGATTCTCACTAGAAGTTCAAATTCAACCCCTAATAGGAGTTTCCATATTTGTTGCAAGATTTTCAAGATTACCTAAATATTTGATTCAATCCCTCTTCAATTAGAATTTTAAAATTGACTTGAATTCTAAACTTAAAAGGGTTAAAATCTTATTTTGGTTCCTCTATTTTAATAAAAAGGTCTTTTAATCCCTCTACTTAAGAAAATTGTTTTTTAGTCTCTAAAGTTTATTATTCGACTCATTTTTAGTTTCTTTGTTATCTTTTTATATATGTGATGCATTAAATGATAGAAATTTTAAAGTAAAGAGGTCAAAAAGAGAGCAAGAAAATCCCTTTTTGTTTTCTTTATTTTAATAAAAAAATCCTTTTTTAATCCCTTTATTTTAGAGTTTTTATTATCTAACATGTTAGATATAAAATAAAAGATAATGGAGAAATTAAAAATGGGTAAAACAATAAATTTTAGGGACTAAAGAAGAGTAATTTTAAGTAGAGGGATTAAAAAGAAGTTTTTTTTTTTTTTAAAGTTAAGAAACCAAAAAGAGTTTTAACCATTTGAAAACATATTGCAAATTTCTTATCAAAGTGTCGATACGTTACTTTTTGATGTTGACACTGTGGTGTCTGGAACAGCACCCATCGGACTTCCGAGTTAGGTTGTGGAACCTCTTTGGCTAATGTTTCACATCTCTCTTTTGGTATCCGCACCTTGGCCAGAGGTGTCAACACTTTGTTCAAGACAAATTTCAACTTCAAGAAATCAAGACATATCTTAGCAAAATGAGTGTTGGATGGGAAGCAGTTTGGTTTGCACTGTTTTGGAATATTTGGATTACCATTTACCAGGAATAAGAAGTTATTCAATAATAGGGTGCTAGACATTATTAGAATATTTTATTTGGTACTGATTAGATCCTTTCATTGGTTGTCATACAAAGGAAAGGCATCTAGGATGTTCTTTTCAGATTGACTCCTAAACGCTCAACCATATTGTTAAATTAATAGTATTCATGAATTGAAGGAAATGAAAAGGCAAGGGAGGGGAGGAGAGAGGAAATTTTTTCTTTAATTTATTCTTTGTTTTAATTTATCTAATATTTAAATAATAGAAAGGGAAGGGAGAGGAATAGAGGAGAATGAAGAGATATAATTCCTCTTCTCTCCCTTCCCCTCCACTTCTTTTCTCTCTCCTCAAGCCAAACATAGCATAATAGAATATTACAAAAATGCCAATTTGAGGTGCTTGTTAATGGCTTTTATTATTGTCTTATACTCTTATTATGGGTTATAAGTAACTCATTAATAAATTTGCTTTTCAAAATAACATAAAACATCAAATGTTTTTTAGATCAACTCACCAGGAGTAGCAAGATTAAATTAATTTAATAAATCTAAATATATTATATATTTTCTTAAAAGTATAGAGACCTTCGATTCACTATTAGATTAAGACTTTATAATTGCCAACTTGATAAATTTATAAAACTATGACATGTAAAGGTGTAAAGTCTAGGATGAAAAATAAGAAATTAAACATGGTTCAGTCAATTACTAATATTTCCACATACAAAAGCTCCCTTTTATATATTGTGGATGTATAGATAATATAAATATGGATACTAATAATTGAGAGAAAATTAAGATTTGACACAATCTTGATTTGATTTGATTTTTTTTTTTAAGTGTCTTTAATTGTTTCTATCAATTGTCCAACAAATATAGAGAAAGTTATATTTTCTAATACAACTAAAAAGGAAGATAAGAGAATTAAACTAGACATATATATAATAGTTGCAAGGAGGTTTTATCAAAATATACTTCATTTGGTTTAGAAAACAATATTTATTTTTAAATTTAAATATTCAAGAGTAATTTTCATTTATATATATTTAATGGAAGTAATTTTCATTTATACATATCAAAGTATGCCACAAATACAAAATACAAATTTATTAGAAAAGAAACATAAATTGCATTATTCTACTTCTTGGACTAGATTGTACGCTGTAATTCATCATGAAACGTAAGATTGCCCAGCCCATACATGTCGGTCACGCTAAACAAAAGTTACAAGAGTATAGAATATAAAATTAAGGCTAGCAAAAAGCCAGATAAGTGAGAGGAATTCAATGCCTTCTCCTAGTAGCCTAACGTGACTAATGTGTCTATTTGAAATCGCTGCATAGACAAGCATTTCTGTCCAGACATCCCTAATCATCATCCATTTGTTTTCTGATTTCTTTAGCGATGTGACTAGGTTGGACACATCTTTCTGTAGGTGCTTAAATGTCATCTCACTGCAGCTTGAAAAAAATAAATTAAAAATAAACAAAACTACTTTAAATCTAATACTCTGAGAATAAGAAATTAAAAACATCAAACCTGGGTTTAAACTCATCTCCCTGTAGGTTTTCCACTGCTAACTGACTGCAATTCGAAAAAGAGAATGAATTTTAGAAAGAAACAAAATTATACTTTAAGGAATTCTATTTTGTTTCTATGAAAATTAGAAATTAATAAAAACATCAAACCTAGATTCAAGCTCCTCTTCATCACGAACATTATCTAGATTAGAAAGTAATGTCGAAGCGGCATTTGTTATATCATCAGTTGCAGAAAACAAATGTTCTTTAAGTTCGTCACAAGTTTCATCAAGCCAAAAATTCTTGCTGTGGTCGGGCAATATCATGGCAGGACACATGGCCAGCAGATACATCATGTAATCTGATACAAGTTTACTGGTTTCCCTGGCTTTATTTTTATGTTGATCCTCTTCCGAGAAGCAAACACTGGCTTCATCGTCATCATGATCCCCTTGCAAGTAGCAAACACTGGCTTCATCGTTATCATGATCCTCTTGTAAGTAGCAAACACTTGTGGCAAGGTGCCATATTATGATGCTATAATCAAACTCCAATTCAATGCTCCAAACTAGATTATCATATTCCTTGTTGTCTTCTAGTGCTCTTTTTCCCCTTGAAGGCCATTGGGATTTGCTCATTATGAACGATGTAATAGGTTTCATGAAATTCCTTATGTCCTGTAAATAACTTGGAACTGGAACAAACTCAGTGAACATGCACTTGTGCAACATTTCTATAAAATCATTGCCATTGGTGATCTTCTGTAGAATGCCACGTGTGTATGATTGGTTCACCTGCTTTTTCTTGTAACGCCAACAGTATTTCAACAGATCAAATTGGCCTAAGTGATTTGACCACCTTTTCCTTCGATGCAACAACCAACGGAAGCCCTTTAAGGCGGCCCAAAACATTTTGCGTACCAACATATTGTGATGAAATGCAGCAACAAGAATTGCCCAATCAGAAGAAAGCATTAACCATGCTGCATAAAGTTCCAGTGCAATAGCTCCGGTCAATAAGATGCCCGTTATGGCAAGATCAACTCTTGAGAATTGAAATTTGGGCTCATTAATGATGCTGATGAAGAAGAGTAGTAGAACCGAGAAGGAGCTCACGAAACTGGTGAGGCGCAAAAAACATCCTAACTTGGTATATATCAAAGCAGCTTTGGTGTAAACCACATCAAATATAAATTCTAGTTCAACAACAAATATGTCCCAACGCTGAGGCTGAGTGAATTCAAAAATATAGTCAAATTTCTCAAAGAGGACAAGAGGGTCATCTATATTTGTAGTGTTCTTGACACGAGTTTGTAACCTTGTGAGAGCAGAGGAAACTCTATGAAAGGAGAGGTAATCATTGACATCAGGTCTCATAATTGTAAACAATAGATAACCAAGCATCACAGTTGGGTCATCTTTTAGAAGGTGATCAAGGGTTTGATTAAAATTGGAATGAGGATGACCTCGAGGGTTAAAGCTATCAGAAATGACTGATTTTGTTTTCTGTGAATTATTCAACTTGAGACATAATATCTTTTCTACATACTTAATAATTCCAGCTAAGATGAGAGGGAAACCCAAAAATGAAAGCCAGGAAAAGGTCCACGACAAACAAACGACATAAACAACAAAAATGGCTTTGACAATAAGGATGAGGAGGTGCCTAATCCAAAGCTTGTTATCTTCAAAAGCATAAGCTGTGATGGTGTCAGGGCCACCAAGATGTAGCAAGAGTAAAGGAGCCCAATATCCTCTTAAAACATTGGTGGTGGGAGTTTCAGTATGGGAACTTGAAAGCTTGCCCAAAGTAGCAAGGGCAATCCAGTCAGCACCTAAGTAGGCAAACCATAGAATGGTTTTGAAGAAACGTTTAAGCCTGTGTTTCCTCCGGCTACCTAAGATATAGAGGACAATTTGTAATAGGAGACTAAAAAGAACCATTCCCCTCACGTCCCATTTCTCCCACACTTCCAGCAACAATGTTGAAAATGAACTTGCAATTGAGCTTGAGTTCCAACTGTTTATCAATAAATAAAATAAATAACTAAATTGCACCAAAAAGAAAAATAAAGATACTCTTTTCTATATATATATTTTTCCAAGAAATAAAAGCAAATTATGTGTGAGAAATTGACAAAAGTGTTGCTGGTTGGGTAGAAAGTGATTAAACATGAATTCTTATATACTAATAGAAAAATTCTGAATTAAATTAAAAATAAAAAAGAGGAGCCTTTCTCGGAAAACGGCATTCAATCACGGTTTCAGATCCTGTAGCAGAAAGAATCTCTTAATTATGGAAGTAAAATAATTAATACATTCTTTAATTCAATACAATTTATAATGTTTATTTTTTTAATTATTAAAATATAATATAAATATAATTT